AGTTAATTATTATAATTTGACTGATTTTCATTTATCATATGACGATCATATAAAAGTTACCAAATTATCAGCATTGTAAATGTATCAGATATTCATATAGAATTTACCTGACACATTTTCAATCATATCATTTTCAATGGATTATCTTATAGCGCAAATTTATTAGATTCCCACATAACAGGAATATGTCAAATTGGTTCAGTGTACTAAAGTGGTGAGCCAATTTAAAATCGTTAGTTTCGTATTGATTGTTGGTTCAATTGCTCGGTGTAATACCAGATGAAAAACGATTTAATCTGCTGATTAATACTCCGACTGAAATTAATTTTTAACTGGCAATAGACTTAGTGGACGAATCGGGTGATTTGGATGATGTTTGTTTATTTGGAAGATATTTTCGAAACAAAGCACGATAAAATTCAGCATTATATACCATTATTACGAGTACTACTTTTTTTGCTAGGATCATGTTTTGACTTCCACAGAAACTTGGTAGAATAAATAGAAAATTGTTTTTTGGTTGAAATTTCAAAAATGTATTCAGTTTGACACATTATTTCGGACTTATCACCGCTGAAACTTGGATTTTTCAAAAGCCTGATTTGTATTATTTTTCGAGGGGGGCGACACATCTAAATCTCAATGCTAGTGCTCGAAAAATCTCACACTAGCGAATCAATCTTCTAAAAATCTTCTTTCATTTCTCGCATCTTCTTACATCGCGCATCATCTTTTTGCAGGAAAGCTTCAGAATCGTCATCAATCCTCTTTCTATCTACTCAGCGTACGCGCAGCTAGCCACAGCAAACCACAATCTTTCCTGTATCGTAGATAGAGTTGTCCCCCTCGTTATTTTTCTATGTGTTTTTCTCTATGTAAAGGTCTTGGTAAAGGTTGATGATAAATTATTGATCGACCAACGGGATCATGGCTATGAAGTTTGACAGATAAAATGAGGGGTTCGTGGATTTTCCAATGTTCCGAGGGGTGCATCGATTAACTTGAGACCGTAGATCGTACCAGAGCTGAGCTAAAAAGGGGGGTTAGTGGTTTTTCCTATGTTTCGAGGGGTGAATCGATTAGCTTGGGACCGAAGATAGTACCAGACCTGAGCCAAAAAGTTGAGCACGTTTCTTCGGGACCTTCTAGTCTTAGAGTTACCTCTATGGTATTACCTGAGTGGTGCGGAGAAACACGAAATGGTTGTCAAAAAGAATCCAACTGGTGCTGTCAAAAAGAATCCAACGATCTAGAGCTGCTAAAAGTGATACTTTTCTCATACAATCCCCGTCGGCAGAGAAAGTATTGTGGTCAATGTTGAAAATATTGTCATTTCGGCATTTTTTTACTAATATTCTTCAACAAATAACTTGCTCAAATACTCGGATGTAAACAATGTAACGAACGAACGAACCTACACGAACTGCTGAAGGAAGAATGCAAACAAACTTTATAAGAGTCATGTGGGTAGGTGCACTCCCAATACCATGTACACGTTATTCACCGACAAACCGACATGACACTTAATTCTGACTTATGCCCGAAAATCGTAAGCGGTCGATTTAAATTTTCAGTGATCCGAACTGTCAAAACCATAGGATTTTTTGATCTAGATAAAAATACTTTGTCCAGAATAGTTCAGACATGAACTAATTCACAACTTTTGCATGCAAGTTCAAGGCTTAGCTAAATATTTCCCGCGAACATGGAGTCAGATGTCAGTAGTGTGCTTTGGTCAGAAATGTTATTGCTTTTGCTATGGTCATTCATGTCGGTTTGTCGGTGCGTTATTTATGGAGCAAAGGGTGAACTTTCGACAGCATGTATATGCAAATTGTGAGCAGTGCATTAGCAAAACAATTTGTGATATCGGAAAATTTTCAAGTTGTTTACTGCTGACTTGCAAAACAAAAACGGCTGTGTTCGCAGTACCCAGGGTATTACCTCTTTGGTCATAGTACGTCAGTGTGAAAATTGTACACGGAGAAAAAATACTACCCAAAATATGAGTTCTTTTTACTTAATATTGAGTTCAGCCTCTCACTTGCACTCTTTATTGTTTTTTTTTTTAACGTGAGTTTCAACCCACCAATATAGTTCAGTTACTTTTAAGTAAATTGCATATTCTTTTTTTTTCTTTTTTTAAGAGGTTTTCAGCCTAAAGGCTGGTTCGCCTTTGCATTGCATATTCTCAAATTTACGTGAATTAAACCTAATTTTAGGTAGAATATACTTAAGAGTAATTTTTTTTATGGTGTTAAATGGAAACTACAGTGGAAGTTCGCTAATTGGGGGTTTTCTGGTTGGGGCGCTTTTTAATTGGGGGTTCGCTAATTGGGGCGCGACCGAATTAAAAAGCAGTCATCCGTCAAAATCTGATGTCAAAATCATGCTGACGTTTTGATGTCATATTTTTTGGGGGGTCTTTCAATGATTGATAAAAAATAACGAAAAACAAAATATTTTTTGTAAAAAATCAATTTAATAACAAGCAAATTAAAACAAAACAGTTACAGATTGCGTCTCTTCCACTCTGCTTCCAGCAATTCAGTTCGCAGGGTTTTCAGTTTCAAAGTCTGAGCGGGATTGTTCTGTACGCTTCCGTTGTACGCTGTGTGCTTCCGTTTCACGACTTGCTTATTATCCACTCCGGAACTGGAAGCTGATACTCCTTCCATTGTGAAAGCTGAACAAATTTCAGGAGGATAATTGCTACAACATTACAAACAACGTATGAATGCACAAATATTTACCAGCGCCGGAAATAACTCAACAAAATATTCAATCGATTCACTCAATTTACACTCACGCAAGACAAAAACTAAGTAGCTGCTCACAGCATCAGTTAAGCAGACGAAAGACTGAAAACCAAAACAAACGAGTCAAGCGCCCCCCGGTCAACTTTGACACTTGTCGACACCCCCCAATTAGCGAATGCCATTCGATAATTGGGGTGCAGTCGTGCCCCAATTAGCGAACGGCTACTGTACTACATATATGCGATACACTCAAATTTGGGTAATTGGGCTAAACCCCGGAATTGAGGGAAAAGTACTTAATTTTGGGTAGTTTTTCATCTCCGTGTATATAGAGATGAACTAGCCTAAGGCTAAAAATCTCTTTAATAAAGCCTAAAAAAAACAAAATCTCCGTGTATATAGAAAGTAGAAAGCGAGTAAAGGACATTTTGAGGAAGGTGTATTGGGTTGATCATCCCCTTTACAAAACTCATCCGTTGATGAGGGATGGTGAAGGGTGCCTCAGAAAAATCCCACTGACCACAGCTGGGATTGAACCCAGACCGATCCGGGTGAGAAAGTAGTCAGGGCACTGGCAGCTTGATGTGGTCAGGTTTTTGGAAGGTTTTACACCCCTCCCTTATTCGGAGTTAGTACAAATTTTAAATAAATTAAAATCGGATCAATGTTTAAACATCGTTTCTAAATAAAATCATTCAATTCTAATTTTTCTTCGTTTAGTAATATCCCTAATAAAAAATAACCATAAACGAACGATAACCCAAATCATTGATCTATTCCACAAATGGTTTGGATGATACCCAGAACACGTCGTTAAGCAAATTAACCGTACAATTTTTATTAAGGATGTTTGTGTGTACATACGACCTATTCAAAAAGCACTCCAATTTTCAAAAATCCATTTTTCTGCGTGTAGGGCTTTACCCAAAAGTAGGTAAAGCGGGTCAAAGTAATTTTCATTTACTTGTGTGCAGTTCGTATGGAATTTTCCACTGGCTTTTTAACCAAAAGTACGTTAGTTGTACCCAACAGTAGGTGTAAATATGATTATACTCAACGTTGGGTTCTCACACTTTACTACACCTGTTGGGTGGTTTTGCTCCTCCGTTTTTGACAACATTAGAAGGAGAAAAGGAGACAAACTATTCAAAAGTAGGTAAAAGTGAACTGGCCGTTGGGTACTTTTTTCTTACCGTGCACCAGCAAAATAATTACTTTATCTTAGAGTCGGTGTATCATTATTATATTAGTCACGCCAAGAGTGAAGCCAAGTCTACCTATTGAACTGTCAAAACGGCTACCTATCGTGCAAAGTAAATAAACATTACGATGCTACGAAAGGTCCACGAAAGGTATTGCAATAAAATATGAAATATAATCGAAGAAATGAGCATAAACAAGCAGTGAGCGTTAAATTGTCATGGGATACGCTCGGTAATGATTAGTAATGAGAATTTCTACTATTTTTTGTTAAGATAATTTGATAAAATCACTGATATAATGATTTACTACAGCCGCAATATTTTTTTTCTCTCGCTAGAAGTCATTTGAATTTGTTGTAGAAGTCCTCTGTTGCCAAGTGAAAAGAATGGAAATCTTTCGAAAACCGTGATGCGATTTCAACTGTTTTTCTCTTGGCGTGACTCATTATACACCGACTCTACTTTATCTGAAGTATATTCAACCCAAAATTAATTTTATTTCACGTAAATTTTAAAATATGAAATTTACTCAAAAGTAGCTTATTGAGCTGAACTATATCATTGAGTCGAATCTCTCGGTCCTTTTTTGACAACAATAAATAACGAGTTCATGTGAGAGGCTGAACTCAAAATTTAGTAAAAATAACTCAAATTTAGGGTAGTATTTTTTCTATGTGTACTGAAAAAATCAGGCTGTGCCAGATAAAACTGGCAACCTGGCAACGCTGAGCACTACACGCTATTTCAAAACTTCCCAAATTTGAGTAGCATCCACCCAGATCGGTCAAGACGGTCAAAAATGGGAAAACTACGTTGGGAATGACAAGTTGACAAATGTACAACATATACATGAATCCGTTCGATTTTTTTCATTTGTCAACTTGTCACTCCCAACATAGTTTACCCATTTTTTTGGGAGGTTCAGTTTTGAGAGATCTGGATGGATTCTACCCAAGTTTGGGAAGTTTAAAATAGTGTGTACTCCAAACGCTCCTAACGCAAACGCAATCGAGAAGAACTGTACTGTCATTCTTCTTTCAAAACAGCATGTTGTTTTGGTTAGCAACGAATGGATCGCGTTTCGCATTATTTTCAACAATTTTACGGCAAATAGCGCTGGATGTTTAATGAAAAATGAAAAATCTTCCTGTGCTAACTAATCTTCGGTCACAGTTCAGCGAAATTCCATCGAAACAAAATGAGGTAAGGAATTTGTATTTTCCCGCAAATAACCTCTAACAGTCACGTTGTCGTCGCCGGTTTGATTCAGATTTTGGCCAATCTAGGAACACCCCACATCGATTCCTTCAATTACATGCTGGAAGAAGGTATTGATGATGTAATTCGAAACCTGGAACCAGTAGAATTTGAACTACCCAGCAAGAATCGAGTGCGTTTACGTGTCACCGGGTGCTCAATTGCAAAACCAACGATTCCACTGAGTCAAATTAATGTCAGGGAGAAGCGGATTTTCCCTTCTGAATGTCGACAGAAGAATGAATCGTACACGGGAATGTGTACGATAATGATCGACTGGGATGTGGATGGTCAACCGAAACCTCCAATAACGAGAGACGTTGGGCCTTTGCCAATTATGTTGCGATCAAAGGCATGTAATTTGGGCGGATTATCACCACAAGAGCTGGTTGAACGAGGAGAGCACGAGGATGAATGGGGTGGACATTTCATCGTGAGGGGTCTTGAGAAGTTGATTAGAATGTTAATTATGACGAGGAGGAATTTTCCCATAGCTCTGAATAGAAATTCCTGGAAGGAACGTGGAAAGGAATTCAGCAGTACCGGTGTCATGATTCGATGCGTAAAGACGGATCAAACTTCCACGAACAATGTGCTACATTACCTTGTAAACGGGACGGCAAAACTGATGTTCTCGATTAGAAAATCGCTAACATTCGTTCCTATCGTGATGCTGTTGAAAGCTCTTTCGGATTACACGGACAATGAAATATTCAAACGACTCATCGCCGGCTTCGAACATGATCAATATTACAAACAGTAAGTAGTTGATCGATTTTCTAATGGATTAATTTTAATAATGTATGGTGTTTCAACACATTACAGTTGTATACAGAACATGCTTCGAGAATTGCACGAAGAGGGCATTCATAATCAAATAGAATGTAAAAATTACATTGGAAATGTTTTTCGCCAACGATTGTATCATTTACCACCATGGTATACAAATCAGGAAACGGCAGATTACTTGTTGAAGAGCTGCGTTCTAATTCACCTGGACAACGATCTGGATAAGTTTAACCTGTTGGTTTTCATGATGCAGAAACTGTTTACTGCCGCACAAGGACGTTGCAAAGCAGAGGGTGCTGATAGCGTTATGATGCAAGAGTTGCTACTAGGAGGACATCTGTACCAGAAGCTATTGCGTGAACATTTTGTTTCATTCCTCAACGGCATGAAGTTCAACATTTTAAAGCTTTGTAGCGACGCAGATGCCCACCTATCGCAAAATGAAATGATAATGGCTTGCAAGAATACTGCAAGCTTGGATCGTTCGTTTGCTAATTTTCTAGCAACGGGTAATATGCCGAAAGCAAGCGAGATGGGATTGATGCAGGATTCCGGATTGGTTATAGTTGCCGAGAACATCAATCGAATGCGATACATGTCCCATTTCCGTGCTGTCCATCGTGGTTCGTTTTTTGTTACAATGCGAACAACTGAAGCAAGACAGTTGCTACCCGATGCCTGGGGCTTCATCTGTCCCGTTCATACGCCCGATGGAACGCCATGTGGTTTGCTAAATCATTTGACCTCCGATTGCCTCGTTTCTAATAGTGCAGATCCAAAAAAGGTGGCTAACATTGAAAGATGCTTGATCCGGTTCGGAATGACGCCCATCAATAGCATATGCTTCGACAGTTTCCAGACTCGAGATTGTTATACCGTTATGCTGGAAGGTAAAATTATCGGACACATCCCGAAAAATATCGCGGCCGTAGCGGTTTATAAGCTCCGTTTGCTGAAGATCGAAGGACAGGAAATCCCGGAAGCCACAGAAATCGCTATGATACCTTCCAAGGAAGGCGGTCAATATCCAGGATTGTACATTTCCGTAGGCGTAGCTCGAATGATGCGTCCGGTCATGAATTTGTTTGCCAACAAAATTGAGCTGATCGGAACGTTCGAACAAGTTTACATGGACATCTGCATAACCCAGGAGGAAGCTTACCCGAATGTGACGACACACATGGAGCTGTCAAAAACATCTTTTTTAAGCAATTTGGCAAAATTGATTCCCATGCCGGATTGTAATCAATCGCCACGAAACATGTACCAGTGTCAGATGGGCAAGCAAACTATGGGAACTCCTTGTCACAATTGGCAGTTGCAGTGTGTTTCGAAATTTTATCGCTTGCAAACTCCGGGAACGCCATTGTTTAGACCGGTTCATCATGACAACATCGATCTGGACAACTATGCCATGGGAACGAATGCCATTGTAGCGGTGATTTCATATACAGGTTTGCATTGAATTGATTGATAAATAATTCATCGATGTGTTTAAAGTCTGCTCTATTTATTCCAGGTTACGATATGGAAGATGCAATGATCATCAACAAGTCAGCATTCGAGCGTGGCTTTGCCCATGGAAATATTTACAAAAATGAGTTCATCGAACTCAAAGGAGATAGTTTCTTCGCTCGAGATCCTCGCAATGAAAACCTTAAGCCTTTCCTAGATAACGATGGTCTTCCCTTCCGAAGTGCCCTGCTTGCGTACAAAAATCCTCTCTATTGTTACTTCGATACCAATGATCACAGTTACCATGTGGTGAAATTCGAAGGGCACGAAGCTGCCATTGTAGACAACATCAAACTTTGCGGATCCACTTTGTCCAGCGCACCGAAACGAGCCGTTATTACTTACCGCATAGTTAGGAATCCGAATGTTGGCGATAAGTTCGCTTCCCGAGCTGGACAGAAGGGCATTTGTTCTCAAAAGTGGCCAGCTGTTGATTTGCCATTTACCGAGTCGGGCATGATTCCGGACATCATCTTCAATCCACACGGGTTTCCGTCGCGTATGACAATTGCTATGATGATCGAAACGATGGCAGGCAAAACAGGCGCTTGTCACGGTTTGGTGCACGATGCTACACCGTTCAGATTTACCGAGAACAACACTGCTATCGATTACTTTGGTCGACTACTAGAAGCCAGTGGGTACAATTATTTTGGAACCGAGCGGATGTACAGTGGAGTCGATGGACGAGAGATGAAAGCGGATATATTTTTCGGAATTGTGCACTATCAACGCTTGCGCCACATGGTGTCAGACAAATGGCAAGTTAGGTCCACTGGGCCGCTGGATCAGTTGACTCACCAACCGAATAAAGGTCGTTCCCGTGGGGGAGGTGTGCGATTTGGAGAAATGGAACGCGATGCATTGATTGCGCATGGTGCGTCCTTCTTGCTGCAGGATCGATTGTTCCATGGGTCGGATAAGATAACGACACTGGTGTGCAGGAGTTGTGGTACGCTGCTAGGTCCAATCAGCAGCATTACGAAGAAGATCACTGCGAACACCACCGAGACGCAACGAACGCCTGCCACCTGTCGACTCTGTCGCAGCGATAAAGAAATCGGATACGTTGAAATACCGTACATTTTCAAGTTTTTGGTTTCGCAGCTGACGGCAATGAACATCAATGTTAAACTGGACCTAGAGATGCCTCAGCTGTAAATGTAGGTTATTTTTTCTTGTTTCAATAAATCTTTTATAAACGCGAAATTTTGTCTATAACGTTAATCTTTTGTTGATTTCAATAATGGAATGGTAGGTAAAGGGAAAGTGAGTGTGTAAGTGTGTTAATCACTAAGGACCCATGCATTAAATATGTCACGTAAAACTGAAGAAACAATCAGGGCTATTCTGCGCGGCGTGTGAGGTGAAGTGACAGTGAAGTGATGGTGAAGTGACAATTGTCACCTCGGGTGAGGTGACTCTCCATTTGATTTGCACGGAGAGTCACCTCACCCGAGGTGACAATTGTCACTGCCCAAGTGAGAGCGTGTCACCTCACCTCACACGCCGCGCAGAATAGGCCTGAATGTATGTAGTGTGTCACCCATTCCCCCCCCCCCTCTCCCCTTGGAGCGTGACATAATATATGCATCACCCTTAATTGGTAGGCCCGATGGAACGATAAATATATTCATTGTAAAACAATGGATTACGTTCTGAGTTACATTGATCGATTATCTTCATCGACTTTCTGTTTCGTTAATAAATTTGCTACAAAGCCGTTTCTTGCTGTTTTTGCCGTATTGGATGCTAGATAATCACCCATATTCTCGTTTACGTTCAAACCGTATTTTCCATTATATATATTTTTTATATGAAAAATACGGTTCGATCGAAAACGAGAATATGGATGAATAGCTTCTCTTGAGTGAACGTTACGTTGTTATTGTCAATAAAAGCAATCCACTTTTGGTAACACTCTTTTGAGCGTTCCACACTAAATAACCTTCTTCGATTTGCGTAATTATTTGTTATATTCAATAATTCATATTTTAGCTAAAATTCTTAGCATCTTGCAAAAACAAAACAAAACGGCGTATTTTATATGTTTTGACAACTCATAACTCGCAAACGTTACTTCCAACCGGAATTATGTCTGAGTCTAATATTAGCGAATTAGTTTATTATCGTTTTCGTTTATTATTATCGAAACCGAACTTTTTGTCAGTGCGAAGCTCAACCTGAGCTGAGTTTTAAAAACAAACGATCAAACTGACGTTTTTCAGAAAACAAGCAGGCCCAATCTTGATACCCGATCCACAGGTTGGAACTAAACGAATTCGCTATAAGATGTAGGAAAAAAATAATAACATTTCAGAAGGAATATATTAGATTTAAGACATTTATAATGTATAAAGAAAATGATAACTTGGCTCTGTAAAGTTTATTCGATTGAGCCTGTACAAATAAAGTAATTAACAAAAAAGAAGGAATATACACGGGAAGTAATTGAAGGTAAAAAAAGGTGTGATTTCACAAAACTGGACCAACAATTTACTACTATTTTATGAAATGCACACATTTGGGCTCTTTCCTCGGGGTTTGTAGAAGAAATTGTTATTATTATTAATTATTAATTGATGAAAATTCCAAATAATGTTTTAGTTCGAAGTTCGAGTGGTAGTGAACGTTATTTTAAATCATTTTTTTTTCTTGATTTGTTTTCCGTGCTGAGCATCAACGCTACCGACGCCAGCTCCCACACCTGGACCCTACCTATCGACCCATCAACTCATATAAACCGGGGACCAACGGCTTTACTTCCCTTCCGAAGGAAGGCGTGATCAGAGATGTTATGCCTCAGAACATCCCGGCGGCGCCGACTGGGATTGAACCCAGGCCTGCTGGGGTGAGAGGTAATCGCGCTTATCACTACACCACCGGCGCCGTTATTTTAAAGCGTTATTCAAAATTCAATTTACTACTACTCGAAATTCAAAATAAAACATATATTTTGGGTTGGCTTCTAGAACCACGAAAAAAGAAGCCAAAATTTGTGACTTCCATAAAAGAAATAGTAATTTGTCAGTTTTCTGAAATCGCTGCTAGAAAATCACGCCAAAACTGTTTCACAAAGTGGTCGACTTTACTTTAAACGAAACATAATCCATGGTTGGAGCGTCTTTCCGCGGAGGCACTAGTTTTCGGACAGACATATCGCCAGCGAAATGCTGTCTCTCGTACTAAGTTTCGCCTACCGTTTTCGGATATAAAATGATCAGAACTCATCACATGCCATTACCTTTGCCTTTATTTCGCCTGAATTTGTATTTACGGCAATTGTTAGTAGCCATTGTGTTTCAACGTGTAGTTGCTCCTATAGTTGCGGTACGTTAGAAGCATTAGGTTTCTATAGTTGCTTATGGAGTCTCCATAAGCAACCTATGGCTCATAACGTACCACAATCATAGCAGCATTTACCCTATTTACCAAAAAAACAACCACGAAAACGTTCTATTCGGTATTCCGCGCGATGGGGTCTTCCGCCAAGTGGAAGGGAAATGGACTTCCGCGGAATGGCATACAATCGCCGTAATTATTATATTTTTCCATTCAAAATATTATGGCTGTTATGCAACAAGTAAATCACATCAATCCAGTAATTGATCCAAGATAGGAGTTAATAAACAGTTAAATAAAAACAATAAACTAATCTTCAATAACCTTTGTATATTTTTCCTCTTGTTTTATCTTATTATGGTTTTAAATATAGTTTTAGTGTATTTATTTTCCATTCGCGCTGCTAATATTCTTGTGTGTTGTTCCGATCCATAAACGATCTACTTCCGTTTTTTTTTTTGCCCTCGCGCAGTGAGGGCGAGTAGTATAGTATTTCTGTTTTGTCCTTCGTATTCTGTATTTTTGTTAATAATTAAACATTAGAGAATAATGGATGAAAAGTGAATTTTGCCAGATGCTATTACATCATATCGAGGAAGGACTGGGGGACAAATCGTTATCTAGCGTGTTTTGTATTTTTTTTTTAATTATTTTGTAACTTTCATTCCTCCGTACGAATATCGGGTGACAGTCAATGATGTTTTGTTCTAGCTCAGTTCAGCGAAAGTAAAGAAAAAAGAACTACGTCAGCCAATAGTTTACATACACTACACATTAGTTTCTCAGCTTATGTTCCTGGTTCCTTTACTTTTTGTTTATCTTGTTCATTTTTCCGCACAATATGTATATGGGACAACTTTCCATGATATACAAACAGTATAACGTAATATATTAATAACGATATATGCATATATGAGTTATAAAAAGAAGGAATAGAACACCGAAAAACGCAAGCGGATGCCATTTAAATGACAAGCAGTACAACGGCTTAGGTACGAATTGGTCAATAAAATGGCTACAAAGGGTGGAATAAAAGACCTATGCGATTTTAGTCCTGAATGCAGTCTGCCTCGCACAGTTAAAAAACTTATTTTATTGCACCGATGATGATAATGCTTTGTGCAATGCTGGTATTAAAATTCAGAACAATAAGAAACGCGTAAACAAGACATGGATAACGTGCGTGTGTGATGATGATTTTATTTATTTACTGCAATGTCAGCCTTGATTCACGATGAAATCTATTTACGTGTTTCAACATTCTGCAAATATCTTGATCCTTGTCTCAATTTCACAATACCTACTCGTAACTACTATTAGTCTAATTGTCCTCAAATTGTGTTCTTTATCCCCTAATGTCTGCGTTTCGTAATATGTCTAAGCAATAAATGAGATTTATAAGTTGCAATTTTTAGTTAGTGTAAAACTAAATCAACTACTTGTCGTTAGAAGTCCAAAATACTTTTGCTCTAATCAATTTCAACAAATACATATCCGGAATCATAATCGTTACATTTAGGATTTAATTTTTGTTTTGTCCTCAGCCTAATCTTTGATACATTGTGGGAAGCAGAAGACCAGAGTGAGAGAAGAACATGATAAATCGTGTCACACATTCACAGCAAAATGGTTTGCTTTCGATTTCCTCTCGCGACAGTCTGGAGCCGCCTTTCCTCGCTTCCTCACTTATCCTTCACTGCCTTGAACAGTTTTGCGATCTGCTAGCAACATTACAACAGCTTTTATTCTACGATTCAACATACCAACATCACCATATGTTGCTTATTAATGATCTTCTGCTTTAATTTGCACACATACTCGCCCCACAATTCAAATGCTGCTATAGTTATTATTCCACTCCGCAATCGTTCGCAAAATCTTGTTTCATCTCTGGTGATACAATATTTCCATATCAATATTACTGTTATTATATGCATTACTTTTGCCGCAGTATGTGTTGTATGTTTGCATGACTTCTTCTATAGGCGAAGAACGAAAACACTACAGTTTCCTACTAATATTAATCAACATTACTACACACCAGCATCATTTATAACGAAAGGAAAAAAAACTAGCCTGCCGTTCCACGCTTAAAATTGGTCTACCAGTAGATTACACATTTCCTGCGTGACATTCTCTAAACTGGAGCGAATTGTCAGGCGGAACATCTGAAAAAGAGAACGAAACATAAATTTTTATATTAATTTTGAATATTTCTCATGATGCGCACGGTGACTCACCTGTGCTTGCTTGTTTGGTTCAAGACGAAGCAGACAGCCCACCTTGTGAGCTTGAGTATGAATGATTCCCGCGCAAACCATGTTATCCGGATTTGGGTCGACTCCTTCCAGCAGCTGCATGCCAAATCCGATCAACTTATTCCGAGCACCGGGCAGATCTAGAGGTTGCTGTGCCTTGAAGACGCGTTGCGCTCGTTGTTGCTCACTATTGAATGGAAAGAGAGGTTTCAGAAGTATGGTTGACAATGTACTTCCATTGAGCGTTGAGTGTACGCATCTTTTGAAAATGATTCATATCAGGCATAATTAACATCGATATTGCACAACGCAAGAGTACAGTTCTATGAAAATTTAATATGGAATAACAGAGGGGAGGATTAAGCAAGGATTTTCAACAGTGGTTTCAGAACAATTTTGCAAAGAAGATTCCTATTCCATTTCCGAAAATTCGAGGTCATGTGCGTATGCATAAGGGCCTATACGCGATGATCGATTCTCTTCATCGATTTTCTCTTTGCATTGCTACAGCTAAGCGAAACAATTTTGTAGAATTTATTCAATGTAGAGTTGTAACAGGTTGCATTGGCTATCAAAAGCAACAGCAAACGCACCGACAAACGTTAAATCTAGCGAGTTATTAACAAAAGAGAAAATCGATGAAGAGAATCGATCATCGCGTATACGCCCTTATGAATGCTCACTGTCGATTTTAACTTTTGGTTAAAATTTGACAGATGGAAAGTTATCGATGAACCCTGCTAAAGGGTGTCCACGATGAAATTGCTCTAACTTTTTAACCGTTGGGTAGAATTTAATGAAAATTTAGGTGGATTTAGTTCATAGTGCATTATTTACATCCTGCAAGTTTTAAAGTCCTGTGATCAAAACTCGCGGAAATGGAGTCGAAAGAACAGCTCGTGCGTGATAAAATCTTGCGCATTCATCACGAGAACAAGGATCTCTCGCATCGTTCCATCGCTTAAACGTTGGGAATCGCGAATTCCACGGTGTCGCGAGTGATTAAGCGGTTCGAGGAACGGTTGACCACCGATCGGAAGCCCAGAAGTGAAGGAAAAAGTATTCTGTACAACACCAAAAATCACAACCGCGTAGTTGGGGCCTTCAACCGAAATCCGAACGCCTCCGTTAGAGATGTGGCTAAGAAGCTGCACCTAAGCCGAAGTTTTGTCCAGAAGGCCAAACTAAGGCTGGGCTTCGAACGTTCAAGGTACAAAAGGCCCCTAATTGCGACGAGAAGCAGAACAAGTCCGCCAAAACCCGTGCCAGGAAGTTGTACCTCAACATGCTGACGAAAGTTGAATGCTGCATCATGGACGACGAAACATATGTGAAGGCCGACTTAAACAGATCCCCGGCAACCTGTTTTTCACGGCCAAGGATAAGTTCAGCGTTCCGGAGCATGTCCGCACTCAGAAGATGTCCAAATTTGCGAAGAAATTCCTGGTTTGGCAAGCCATCTGCACGTGCGGGAAGCGGAGTGCACCTTTCGTGACCCAGGACACGATGAACGGACAGGTGTACATAAAAGAGTGCCTCCAGAAGCGGCTGCTTCCTCTCCTGAAGGCCCACAACGTCCCAACAATCTTCTGGCCGGATTTGGCTTCATGCCACTACTCCAAGGACGTGCTGAAGTGGTATGCGGACAATAAGGTCAATTTCGTGCCGAAAATGTTCAACCCTCCCAACACTCCGGAGCTCCGCCCCATCGAGAAGTACTGGGCGATTATGAAGCAGCACCTTCTTAAATGACCTAAGGTAGTGAAGACAGTCGAGGAACTGAAGAAAGTATGGGTTTACATGCAAAAAAACGGTTGATTCACAGGTTGTGCAGAATCTTATGGCCGGGGTTAAGGCCAAGGTGCGGGCATTTGCGTATGGACTGTAAATAAAATACGAGTAAAATGGTAAAATGAAGTTTAATAGTTATTTCTCAATCCCTGAAAATTTGATGGCAATCGGATGAAAACTCGAATTTTGCGAATCAATTTTGTGTGTGGCAATTTCATCGTGGACACCCTTTATCCGAGCATGGTTATTTCTTGTTGTTTATTAATTTATTTGATAAGGCTCAACCGAATTAACTTTACAGAGCCGAGGATTCTTGGTTACTATACAATACATCTTAAAACTATAGTCAAAAGGTACAACACAATAAACACTTTATCTTCCGCTATCCAAAAAGCCTCCTCCATCAGAACTGGAGCCGCTTGCAGTAGTTTCATTGTATGGCAAATTGCTGTACGCCAACGAGGGTCAGAGCGCGTCCATTGCAGCAATGGACGCAAAACGTAGTCAGCACTCACACACTCATCACGAAACGGTTGCTTTCCAAAGTCGACGACGCATCGACCGAAAGAACTGCTAATGAAGAACAATGAGGAGGACCACACAATGGTTGCTGCCGAGAAAACAGACGATCGCGTAGCACACATCGAGAGTGGCCTGCTTTTGTCGACAGCCGAGTGAACACTCAAACATGGTTATTTCTGACAGACAAGAAGTTAAATTTTGACAACTGTGGCTCGAAAACCGGTCGATCGACAGCACGGTGATTTTCGAACATAGAAAATAACTTTCGAAATGTCACTTTTAACCACGAGTTAAATTTAACTCGCCAAATGAAATGGTTCACAGCCTTAGCGAAAAATTCACCAATGAGCTATTGGATTAAACAAATCGATGCCAACATTTCATTAGGACGAAACTGCTTTTGTAAACAATGAGTTCAGCCGCCGATTTCACTTAAATAAAAGCTCACTGCTGCAAACTGCTGCAGGAATCATTTTCCAACTCGATGGTGTTTATTGCATAAATGATGTATGCTGGAAGAAGTATCCCTATTTGAATACGTTGGGGAACCAAAAACAAAAACAAAACTTAATTCAGTGGAATTAAATGGAAGATAACCTTTTTAGCTGTTTTATTTTATAAAACAACACTGATTATAAAAGCAACATTTGCCGGCGCCGGTGGTGTAGTGGTAAGCGTGACTGCTTCTCACCCCAATGGGTCTGGGTTCAATCCCAGCCTTCGGAAGGGAAGTCAAGCCGTTGGTCCCGACCAATGTGTGTTTGGGTGCGCAGGTGTGGAAGCTGCGTTCCTGCACATTCGTTTGACGTCAATGGATGGCAATAGATGTCCGTCGGTGATTGGCACTAGATTGCGGAACAGAGACCGACGTTAAATAAAGGAAAGGATAAAAGCAACATTTCTATAGGAGATCCCGCCAACTCTATCCCTAACTCCATATCCCCGGGGTTCTCTTCTGGAACCTCACCCGTCTGAATTCCCCACCCCTCGTTTTTAAGAGAAGAAACCAGCCCAATGCTGAAAGTCTCTCTAATAGAGCAAAAAAAATATCTAGGAACATGTATCAAATCTAGAATTTCTCAACGTTTAGATCATCGCAACTAAAACTGGGCACTGACAAACAAGCAAAAATGAAACATAATACACCCAAACATGTGCATAGTATCATGCATTCTTATCAGTACCTTGATAATTGATTGAAGTGTGAATCAGTATCAAGAGAGGACTGCTCAATTCAAATCTCGTTAATAAAGAATAAAAATAAAAATAAAAGTTCATCTGATCTTTCTGCACAGTCATCAGAACCCATAAAAAGGCATTCCACTACTCACCCTCCGAGGTTTTTCCACCGTGCAAAGAAAGACTCGGCGTTCATTTCGGTTGGCTCGAAGAACTTATTAACGGTCAACGGTAGCAGAACAATGATTTTTTGTGTCGCTCCACCGTTCACCCGGAAACTAATTACAATGGACGGTGCTTCGCTGTAGTTGTCGACACATTCGGCCGTCAGAAGCTGTTGGATTTGTGCTCCGGCTTCCAACGTTGGTTCCACGGCTTTGATCTGAACGTTCAGTTTCAGAGCGTCTTCCGGCGACCATTGCAAAGTCGGAACAAAGTTTTGCAACGCCGTTTGAGTTTTGTTGCCATAGTACAGACCAAGGCGTCCGAGATTTTGGCGGAATTCGCTCTTGACACCGATCTGTAGGAGATCGTTTTCGAACAAAACACCATTGTTTTTGAAGACAAATCTGGAAACGGTAGTTGAGAAATTATACTTCAACTCAGAAAAATGTTGATATTTCACTTTGTCATACTTTTTGGCGTTGTTAATCACATTGCCAGTACCGTTCGTGGTGCTGTAAATATCTCCAAGGACGTCAATCAGTGTTCCAGTTTGAGACTGCGTTGCCGGCGGTGTGCTTAATCCGAGTAGATCGGAGCTTGCATTGGAGTTTACACTGAAATGTAGATTTACGTTGGTTACATGATACTTTTGGATTCAAATTAACTTACCCTGCAATGTGATTTGTTTGAGCAGCGTGAGCATTGTGGGAATTCGGTACTGGACTCTTGTCACGTATTTCGGCATTCTCCGGGACCCGACCAGGTTTCTTTTTCTTCAGCACTGCTAAAATAGAACTTTCTCGCTCCGGAAAGGATGGCATTTCCTCGAGAACCGTAGCCAATACGTCTGTCGATGCGACAATGCTCAGCTGAAGATATTCACTCGCTCGTTGCTGTAGCTCGGCATCGGCCGAACGCAGATTACTGTGCTGCCGGAATACATCCTGAATAGTGGAACGAATCTCAGGGAATAGATTGATGAATTTTATATACGTCGACAGCAATAGAGCGCGGGTCATAGATGAGCAGAGATGATATTTCGAGTGTAACAATTTGAATTGTACCATTGGGGCAGAACGTGAATCACCAGCTATCAAGTTTCCGAATTCTCCGAGAATGTAACCACCGACTTTGACCATATTTTCGTGACAGGCTGGTGCTTGCAAAGCCTCGAAGACAGTTTTCGCCGCATAGCCTTGAACTTCCTCTCGATTGATAACTATCTGAATCACTCGGTACCAGACTTCTTCGGAAACGTAATCACCGGCGATTCGAATCAGATTCAGAATAACATCCACGTACCAAGTGAAATCCGTAGCATATTTTTCTGCCAAGATGGCTACCTTCAAAACCATTTCTTCACGAATCGAATAATCGGCCGTTTCAAGATAGTTCAACATTTCCTGTACAATTTCTTCAGCATTGGTACGATCGCACATGGCGTATAGAAGATCTACTGCTTGCTGACGCACCGAGACATCCTTCTCCATTTTCATTGAAAGAATAACCACTTCCTGGTGTTTCTTAACGGCTTCGTGGGAAAATTCAGAAGTGGCCAAATGGCACATCGATTCCAGAGCTAAGTAACGTAAATTTGTCTCACGATTGCTGAGGAACTGTCCTAGTTGATTGCAAGCTCGAACCAACAAATTTGCTTCACTATCGTTGTGAATAATCAAGTTGATTGCTTCAAAGAGAACCGCATTCTTGGCATTGGAATGTTGAACTTTTTTGCTCTTCGGTGGTTCTTGGGCTTTGTTCAGAATCGTCTCCAAACACTCGTTAAGTCGTCCCCGTACGCCAGGATCTTCAGTGGGTGGATTGTAGTTTTGCAATAATCGCAACAATTTAACAGATAGCCACGGTGCCGGTACGAAATAGTACGTATAGTCTTGCAAATCCGTATAGGAAGCGGTTACGATGCGAGACAATCTCGAGACGGCCAAACTGACGCATCCTTTATATTCATCGGGATTTTTCTTGACCAGCGCATCAATCAAGCTGGTAGCCGCCGTCACTACGCCCATGTGCTGATCGTTTAAAAGATGAATGATCCTGCTGGTCCATTCGCCTCCAGGGATGATATCCGGACAAGTACGATATAAACGCAATAGACACAAAGCAGCCGATTGCTTTACCACATCCATCGTGTCGCCCGAAACGAGCAGCTTGGGTATTTCGGTTGAGAATGCTTCGGCCATGTCCCGGCTGCCAATGTTGGCAATGCACTGCAGTGCCAGATTCACATGGATAGGATTACGTGATTGCAAGTCGTTCTTGATGCTCTGGATAATGAGCTTGATCAGGTCACTGTTGGTGTTGACTAACACCGAAATGAACAGATAGCCCTACGATTGAAAAAAAAATAAGTTAATTTATCATTTTTTTTTTTTTTTTTTTTTTTTTGTAAAAATTAACCACTCACAATTTGCTTCTCGGAGTACTTGTTCGAGGACAGTAAATTTACAGCCTCCATCTGACCGAAGTCGATATCATGACCAAGCAGGAAGATGAACAGCAACTTGCACACGTACTTCTTCTTCTGATAACCGTCCAACGTTTTATCACCTTTGAACTTGCTCCGAATGTTGGCGAGCTCCTTGTTGATTCGCTTGATTTCAGCTTCTTTGCTTTTACCTGTGGATTGTAAGTATGCCAGCTTTATTTGCAGCTACTTAAGCCAGCAAATATATATATAGAGGATGTGACGTGAAAACTGGTACTCAATGCCTGTCTCCAAGTTTGCCATAAATTTTGCATTCATATATGTTGTGGCAAACAGTGCTGGTACCCTCAAATACAAAATACAATTGAATAAAAATGATGGAAATCCTATTAGATCCACTTTCAAAGGACATTCGACTGATTTTGATCTGCTTTTACAATTGACGAATCTTCAATTGATGAACGCTTGAAGTAACCTGAGAACATATCGACGAAAAACCTGAGCCAACCCGACTTCTACCATACCGCAGCCTGATGGTAAGCATAATGATCTACCCAGACAATCAGATGCGTGATAACAATTCACAGATGGGCCATAACTTACTACACTGCCCATAAAAGCATATCATTCTCATCTGGAAAATACAAAGCCGAGAAAAACGACGCAAAGTTGGCAAAATCGCTAAAAGTTGCCAAATCAACCGTTACAAATGTAATTAAAGTGTTTGGGGATCGTTTGTCGACAGCCAGGAAGTCTGGATCGGGGGGAAATCGAAAACCGGAAGCCACTGAGACGACAAAGAGAGTTTCCGGTAGTTTCAAGCGAAACCCTAACCTCTCTCTCCGAGATGCCGCAAATAAGCTGGGTGTATCGTCTACAACCGTGCATCGAGCCAAAAAACGAGCCGGACTATCGACTTACAAGAAGGTAGTGACTCCAAATCGCGATGATAAACAAAATACGACGGCCAAAGCGCGATCCCGGAGGCTGTACACGACGATGCTGACAAAGTTTGACTGCGTGGTAATGGACGACGAAACCTACGTCAAAGCCGACTACAAGCAGCTTCCGGGACAGGAGTTTTATACGGCAAAAGGAAGGGGAAAGGTAGCAGATATTTTCAAGCACATGAAACTGTCAAAGTTCGCAAAGAAATATCTGGTTTGGCAAGCCATCTGTACCTGTGGCTTGAAAAGCAGCATTTTCATAGCTTCCGGGACTGTCAACCAAGAAATTTACGTGAAAGAGTGTTTGAATAAACGTCTGCTGCCTTTCCTGAAGAAACACGGTTGTTCCGTACTGTTTTGGCCGGATTTGGCATCTTGCCATTACGGTAAAAAGGCCATGGAGTGGTACGCCGCCAACAACGTGCAGGTGGTTCCCAAGGACAAGAACCCTCCCAACACGCCAGAGCTCCGCCCAATTGAGAAATACTGGGCTATTGTCAAGCGGAACCTAAAGAAGACCAAAAAAACTGCTAAGGGCGAGCAGCAGTTCAAGGCAAACTGGCTTTCTGCGGCGAAGAAGGTGGACAAGGTGGCTGTACAAAATCTGATGGCAGGGGTCAAGCGTAAGGCCCGGCAATTCGGATTTGGAAAAGCGGAAGCCTAACTGAATATTTTTCCTGAATTTTATACTAATTGAACTTGAAAAAGAAATTTTATTTGATTTTTTAAATAAACGATTTCACCGATTTACACGCGTTTTCCCTTGACCAAATTTTGACCGTATCACTCTTTATATATGATCTAATCTTGCCTTTTCCATACATTGCAATTAGGATTTGCACCGTCGGAGTTAACCTCAATCGGATAAAAGTTAAGTGGACTTAGGCTGTGTTCCATTTGGTGAATTATTTTTACTTAAAATTGACAGATGGAAAATGTTCAAATAAACCTTGGAATAGCAGGTTATTTCTGACAGACAACACGGAGAAAAAATACCCAAAATTTGAGTTCTTTTTACATACTTAATATTGAGTTCAGCCTCTCACTTGCACTCTTTGTTGTTGTCAAATAAGAAACGAGAGATTCGACGCAACGATATAGTTCAGCCAAATAAGTTACTTTTGACTAAATTGTATATTCTCAAATGTACGTGAATTAAACTTAATTTTGGGTAGAATATACTTAAGAGTAGGTATTTTTTTTTTGTTTTTTTTTCGAGAGTTGACCAACTGCAGTCTTAATAGGCTAGCATCTCGATTGGGCTCTCCATGCGATACACAATACTAACAGACGGCTCGAGCTATGGTGCTCACTAGGTCACTGCAGCTTTTAGGCTCATATTGTATTAGGACCATAAATCCGGAGAACCCTGAGATCTGGGCGCAATCGTCCCTGCAAACAAACACGTCAATTGCCGGTCTCCCGCGAACAAAAGAACAATCCTGCAAACAAACTATACCAAATCATAGAGGAACTATTCCTCTACCTGTTTGTGTTATTAGTTTTTCCAGATTGAGCCCCAATCCGCGAGAAACCGACAAATGACGTGCCTACACGCAGAAAAATTGAATTTTGTTTCAGGGCCTAATGTATTTTGTTATTGATTCAAACATATTGTATCACTATTCCAACAAAACATATTTTTGAATCAACAAAATGGTTTTTATAATCAACAAACAGAATATTGGCTTTACAACCAGTTTGTTGATTAAAAAATATTTTTCTTTGAATCAACCGAATAATATATTTAAATCAATACCAAAAATATATATGCATTTGAATTTAAAAATCATTTCTCTGCGCGTATCTACAAAAGCAACTACGCTCCAACCTCGAAGCTCTCCGGAAATATGTGATAAATCATGTAAATGTAAATGGAATACAGTAATGTCCCGATTTTGTCAGCCCCCTTTTTTGACAATGTTTTCCAATGTTCTATAAAACCCATGTCCTTTTTCAGTAATCTTCTTGAACCTATTGCACCAAAGTATACATTAAATATCCCTCTTAACGATGAATGAGAAAAATTTTGATTTATGGGTATGTAAAATTATTGAAAGAAAAAAGTCTGAAGCTGACAAAATTGGGTCATTACTGCATTTAAAATAAATAAATTCATTCTTACCTTTTTTATGGTTGATTGATTATTAATTGCTATTATTATCAGCTTAGAGTTGGCTCCTTTAAAATACTGCGTAGAATTTACCTCATTATTCCTCAGCTCCATCGATTTCCGTTCCTGCGTGGTTTTTGTGATATAACCACGCTCGGCATATTACCCTGTAGTACGACTTGGGCGTGCACCATGCAAGTAACTCATCTCTCGTCAAGATGATGGGATATGGAGTGATGGTGAAGGGAGAGAAAGGTATAGACATTAAAACTATCCTGCATCTGAATTCCAGGCATAAATTTCATCGAAACGAAAGAAATTTATACATATTAGGTATATGTAGAAATGTGAATCTCTTCGTTGAAATGTATGCCCGTTTACCTGTAAGTGTAAACGGAGCTCTGGTCGACATTCCGGTGAAAAAGCTAAGCCAACCTGACACCAACCTGACTTCTACCAAATCCCAACCCGATGTTGACCCGACATAAACCCAAATTGACCCAACAACAACACGACATTTGGTTGACATCGACCTTAAATTTGCCGTACATTGATCCGACATTGGGTCGACTTGTCTGTTCGGGATTATTTTGCTGAGTTTCTTCCATACTCCACTGTCGTATATCAAATGATAGTAAGTGACTCAATTGACAGTGACGATGAGCTTCAAATGAGAAAGGGGCTCTTCAAATTATGGTCATGTGAGAATTCGTTCTTTAAAGTTCTTGAAGTTAGAAAAAAATATCCCTGGGCCAGGGTGTCCATTCAAATTCAATTGTTCAATTCCCGGTTATTTAATAATAAACCAAACCCCAACATCCGTCTTAAACAAAAAATAACCGTATAAAATCAAAGAGTTTCACTGCGAAAAATGAGCCTAAATCTTGTTTTGGTACATCAGAAAAAGCATACAAGAGATCTGAGAATGAGAAAACCAGTATTTAAAGATCTTCATATATTCCTGGAGTTTAGATCTTGAAGTCCTATAAGCCAAATCACATTTTGTGGAATACAAAGATATGTTACTAAAATATTAATCATTTTCGAAATTGTCCTGGCGATATTTTATAGTTTAATCAAAATCTTGTTCCTTATCCACTCCGAATTTTTGAGCATTTTATACATCATTTAAAATTATTAATTGTTTGAAACATGAAAAATGAACTCCCAAGCCAATCAAACGCTTCCATTAGAATTTTTACGAGGATTTCTTATTCTTACTAGATTAAATTTGAGAGTATTGCAATCGAACAGAAATTCGATCGCCTTTATGTTTTGTATACTTCTCAAATTTAACTAGTTTTTGGAATCAAAAACAATATTCTAACTCTATTAATTAATTGATCGTAGTTATTTAATTAATGGCACCAAGAAATGTACAAAATATTGCGATGCAATCAATTATTATTTTGCACGTTGCAAGATAATTTAGGTACAAATCCCTCTTTCCGGAGATGAACCAGCCTGCGGCTGAAAATCTCCTAAATAGAGAAAACAAAAAAAAAGAAAATCCCTCTTCTGTCCCAAGCTCATCGATGCACCCCTCGAAACATAGTAAAATCCACGAACCCCTCATTTTATCTGTCAAACATTCATAGCGAATCAAAACAAATATAGTGTAGTACTAGAATTTTGACTAGAATGGGATACGGTAATCGATTTACTTGGGACCAAAACGCTAGTCAAGTAGTGAGTCAATTTAAAATCGTTAGTTTCCACCGGTTGGTTCTAGTGTGATCGGTCAAAAGTTCTTGGTAAACAAAAAAGTCAGCTAATCGCAACTGTCTCGTAGCATAGAGGTAACTCTCTTATAGGCTAGTCAAGTAGTGAGCCAATAAGGTGTTGCACCGCCGGGGTTAACCTCAATCGGATGACAGTTCAGTGGTACTGTTTACGTGGACTTAGTCGATTTTTTCTTGGGTAGATTTTCTCGATATTTTTCAGACTGCAGTGAGATGTAAACCATACTTCTGCAATGTCCACGAGCAACATCCTTTCACCGCGCATTTCCTCGGCATATTTCAAATAAAAATTCGGAATTCTTAAAATATTTTTTTCCGAAAAAAAAAATCTAAGTGCTTGTAAACAGTTCCACCATAGAGGTAACTCTAAGACCAGAAGGTCCCGAAGAAACGAGCTCAACTTTTTGGCTCAGCACGAACCCCTCATTTTATCTGTCAAACTTTCATAGCGAATCAAAATAAACATAGTGTAGCACTGGAATGTATACTAGAATGGGATACGTTAATCGATTTGCTTGGGACCAATAGGCTAGTCAAGTAGTGAGCCAATTTAAAATCGTTAGTTTCGAATTGATTGTTGGTTCCACTGAACTGTCAAAAACTTCATGCAATGAACACTGACTTCGGTACAAGCTGTCCGGTACAAGCTGACGAAAATTTGACAGGAGCGCGGGGCAATATTTACTAATGATCATTATAATTTTATTTAACTTAATTAATCTGTTTAATTTAAGTTTAAAACAAAACATTATTCATTATTTATGAACATTTATTGGCCATTTCACATCAAACATGACAAACAAGCGCGTTTTTACTTATTAAAAAGTGTGATAAAAATGCGAGTTGTTGTCAAATCGTCTTGGTGTTTTCGGCGCACGATGCAAGCAATAAGTGCTCCGAAGACACCAAAACGATTTTTGTATGAAATGTATTTTTCGTGTACAAAGTATTTTAGATTTTAGATTCAACGTGTACAAATGAACGTATTTTTTTTAAATATTTTCCAGAGTGTGTACACTCAGGTCTTTTTTTACACGGGGGATACGTACCGTGTAAAAAAAAACCTACGAGATTTAGATTTTTCGCATGCTTAAATGTTTTTAAAAAATCGGATTTGGATGCCATTTGTAATTAATGCATGATATGGTCCATATAGACATATTTTAAAGATTTCTGTATTTCCACCAAAAATTGTGATTTTTTTTAAGTATGCCATTCGATTACCTATAGCTTGAAACGGATAATGTGATTGGAATCAAGGCGATAGGTTGTATCGTTGTCGAGAAATCGTTAAAAACGTACCGTGTAAATCGTGGAAAACCGTGTAAAAAAACCGTGTAAAAAAAAACCGCGTAAAAAAAGACTTCAGTGTATTTACAATTCAGCTGATTTATGGAGTTGATCGCCTATCGATCAGAACCAGTGAAATTGCACAGAGATTGATTAATTGATTCATTCAATGTATAGATATAATACCGACGTCGGCCTTGGATGAAGGAGAAGGATGATTAGTTTGGCAATCGTTGTTACCAGAGCCAATGCCAATAAGAGTCCTTTTTTTCAAATTCTTTATTTAGGAGATTTTTAGCCTATGGCTAGTTCATCTCCGGATAATAAGAGTCCCGCAAATAGAATATCTTAGAAACAAGCAGCGCGGTTTGTGTTTGCTATAACTTATCAATACCAAAATAAATAATGCGAAATAATGTTTTTCATAAAAAAAATGTCAGAAATATTTTCTGTAACGAATGCAATACATACTGCAAACTGGGTCTAGCGAAGACAAATCGAAATTATCTTATTCAGATTGCTGCGATGGTTTACAAATTGCTAGACAAAACAAATTAATGCATGACTCTCTCATAACGAATTGCACTGGTAAAACAAAACATGATCATGTTTTAAAATGATTTTTTTTTTTAATAAATGCAATACTTTTCATCTATGAGACCTCTCGTAGCTCAGTCGGTAAAGGCACACCTACAAAGCAAGACCATGCTGGAGATGGCTGGGTTCGATTCCCGGTCCGGTCTGGGAATTTTTCGGGTTGGAAAATTTCTCGACTTCCCTGTGCATAGTGTATGATGCTGAGCCAAAAAGTTGAACAAGTTTCTTCGGGACCTTCTGGTCTTAGAGTTACCTCTATGGTATGATTACAAACTTAGAACTTTTTACAGAAATCTGTAAAATTTTACCGAAATCTCAACAGCTGAACGTTCGGTAAACAGTTTCACAGATTTCCTATACTTTTCCACAAATATCTGTGATTTTTTCACAGATATCTGTAAAATTTTTTTTACAGATATCTGTGAAAACTGTAGGAAAACTGTAAAACTGTTTACCGAACATTCAGCTGTTGAGATTTCGGTAAAATTTTACAGATTTCTGTAAAAATTTCTAAGTATATATACTTGCCACACAATTATACTAATGCAAAAATGGTACAGACATCGAAAGCTCTCAATTAATACCTGTGGAAGGTGCACCTAGAACACTGAGAGCACGCAATAAGCTAATATACGATAAGCAATAAGCTTGAAGAGCGAATAAGAAGAAAATAGTTTTCATCTATTTTCTTCTAACAGCAGCAAATAAATTGATTCGATTTTAACAGTTGGTTCGACAATCATTATGTCTCCGACAAACAACTCCCATATACGTCGGTGCAACAATCGACCGATTAGTCGGAACAAAAATCGGTCAACTGTAAAATTTCTCATCGGTCAAACTTTTTATGGAGCAGCTCTTTTTTTATACCAAATAGCTCTTAGGCCAAATGGACATTACGAAAATCAAACTTTATCATGTCAAACGGGGTAGAGCCCTTGTACTAATACTCGACTGATAAAAACCATTGCATCTTACCAATTAAAAATATCCAGGTTTTTTTTTTTTTAATTCTTTATTGAGATTTTTATCCTATGACTAGTTCATCTACGGGTTCAATATGCAGGTAGTCCATACTGGAAAATAGATATAAGACCTTAGTTCTTTGAAGTGAAAAAAATGTACCCTAATTTATAATCGGTAAGATGCGATGGTTTTTTCAGTCGAGTTTTAGTACAAGACACTAAAGAGATCTGCACATTGTAGACGACGAAATACGCGTATCTTTCAAGGATAAGCAATTAAGGTAGTGGAATTAAATGGAAATTACTAATCCTTATTTCTTTCATTATACCGTTAGTCCACTATAGACGCCCACATTCATCAGGATCAAATATGTATGCTCTTCTGTCAACCCTCGCCATCTAAATACAAAGACTGATACAGTTACTACACTACATTGTAAGCAAATTATAACTAAAGGTGATTTCGACTTGACTAACCTACTTTTGAATTTTGGTTTTCTACACTTTGCAATTTACATTGATTAAAATCATGTTTACTAAATAGTTTCTGGGTATCACTAACAAAATGAAAACTACTAAAAATGATCAGAGGAAAGGAACCCAAATTTGAGTAACTATTTTATTTTTTTTTATTCATGAGGAGAACTCTATTTTGTACGCATAAGGAAAAAGAAATAAGTACCATAAACCGGGGCAAATTGATCATGATTTTAAGTATTATGTGAATATTTACTTTGTTTGTAGTTTATTTTCAATTCAATATTTGTTAAAACCAGTACTGGTGTACAGGTAATAAAACCTAATAGATTGATTTGTTAAATTATTTACGCAAGTTTTAGTTTCAATCATTCAATATGTAAATAAATTGATCAAGAGTTTTTTTTTATGACTTTTTAAGACTTGTTCCAATACTGCCGTAATAAGCACATGTGTCTCACGGTACATCAGGATCCATAGAACATGGAACAGTTATGTGTACAACGGCAGAATAACTTTAGTTAATTTATTATCACTTGTCTGCATATTGTGAGTTAATGTGATTAAAGCTCATAAAATATAATTGATATGTGTGAAAAATGTGTTTATTATTAATAAATGTGGCAACAAAAAGAAACTTGAACAATTATATAAAAATAGAGAAATATTGAATCATCTTGCAGAAATAAACGTTGAAAAAAAAAACGAACGCTATCAATTTGACCCGACGTCAATTTACCTTCGGTTGGCAATATTTAAAAAGTTATTACGACTAATTACCAGATCTTAGGTACTTACAATTACGTATGTCGGATATGAACACGGCCAAGCCGCGCATTCCATCTCCCCGAACAGGTGCCATGCTAGAATAACACGGTCCTCCGGTCGATTACTATTGTTTATCTCCTTGTTTCCGCAATTTTTTTTTATCGGCTCGAATGCTTCCTGTAGTAATAGGCAACTAATCAACTCACAGACGCACTTCCGATCGATGTTGTATTCACTTTTGCCTACTTTAGTTCAGCTAATCATACCAGCTGCAGCAGCGCCTCCGTAATCTACTGCCTTGCTGCTAGTGGGAATCTGTATCGAATGCAAATAAAAACATGAAGAACACCGACTTATTCGCAAACACTTTCTTTACTAAACACTACAGGAAAAATTTCGCCTTCCTGCTTTGTCTACTCAACTCTAACCCGCAGACTGAACAGCGAAAGTTACTGCCTCCGTATCGAGCATCGGTCAGAGAAAAGAATAATTTATTTAGCTCAATTATCTGATAACAGATTCAGAAACTTACATCCACAGTGCAGAGCACGGAGAAGGAAAAAGACGGGCACTTCTCTTAGCAATGTTCTACAACTTTTTCCCGTGCTGTCCGTGGTGGCCTCCGGAGATGACAATATGAATGAATGAATCAATGTACGCGGTGAAAAGAGGCAAAACGACAACTCCACGACGACGTATGATGATGATAATCACTTCTTTTGACGCCCTAAAAAATTTCACTTCCACACTTGCGAATTGCTGCTAAGCCCGACACAAATCGGACAGAATAGCGCTTTTGACGACTTTTCAATCCGGTCCTGGGCCCGATTACGTGATCTTTGTGCAATTTTTCACCCTCCAACTGGAATCATAACACAATACCTTGAGTAGTTGGCCAGAAAGGATTCACTGCTAACCGTTCTTCGCTCCGGGATTAAGGATAAAAATCAATCGATTTTTTCGCTCTTTACTTCGTCCGTCTGCTACTTTGGTATTATACTGGTATACTTTACCGTTTGTAGTTGTTCACATTAAAATTTAGCTGGCGTTTTCTCTCTTCTCTTCTCGCACACATGCACATTCGAAGTGAAAGTGACACATCGGTTGTCAGATCAGAATCGAATATCGCACAGCGCTTTACAAGGGGTCTAATGATTTTCTATCCTACACTCAAAAATAATACAATTCATTATTAGATTTAAAAATTAACTTTTTTCAAATTCACCGATTGTATACCCTAATAAACGGGTACCATACTCTAACGATATCATAGATGGTACGACCATCCCACATAAAGTTGGGATGATATCCCGAATTGGTGGTTAGGCGCTTCTTATGGTTATTGTTTATGCGGGTGCGCTCCTTAGATTAAATTTTACACCATCATAGCTTAAACTTTATACCAAGTATGAACAGCAGCAAGGGGCAAGACATTGTAATATATATTTAATATATTTGAAAGATTTGGTGGGTTTCAAAATATTAGCGATATTTCGCTATATATTTTCCCGCTGTCAAGAAACTGATGAGTTTTTAATTCAGTGTTTGTTTCATGTCATCGTAGAAGAAGATGGTGGCCGAATGTTGATCCCCCCTATTCTGCGAGTCACGTGACTCTCTCTCACCGGTGAGGTGACAATAGTCACCTCGTGTGAGGTGACTCTCCATTTGATTTGCATGGAGAGTCACCTCACACGAGGTGACTATTGTCACCTCACCGGTGAGAGAGAGTCACGTGACTCGCAGAATAAGGGGGGATAATCAGGGTTATTCTGCGTGGCGAATGAGGTGAGACGACTCGAGTCACTCGTGTCAACCGATTCCAGCTGGCGAGTGAGGTGAGAGAAGTCACTTGGGATGAACCCGGTGAACTCTCACCTTATTCTCACAGTCGTATTTCGGTGACAAAAGTCGTACTGAAGTGACGATTTTAAGTGACAAGAGTCGTAACCTCCGCTGCAGTCGACTGGAAGGAAAACCTTAGAGTTCTATAAGCGATGGTTGCGGTTTTCGGTAATTTATTACTTCTAAATTTGTTTCAATCAATTTTTTTTTTGTTTCTTCGGCTTCCTCAATATGGGTATTTTTGGAATAAGAGTGACGTGTAGGAATCGGAAACCCATGTCTGAGGCCATTTTGAAATTCAATATGGCGGCTTCCGGTTTGGGAAAAATTTGGAAATTCTGCCAAATACCCCACAAAACTGGTATTTTTGGAGTCGGGATGACGTGTAGGGACCGGAAATCGATGTCTGAGGTCAATCTGAAATTCAAGATGGTGGCTTCCGGTTGGAGAAAAACTTGAAAATTCTGTCAAATACCCCTCAATATGGGTATTTTTAGAATTGGGGTGACGTATAGGGTCCGGAAATAGATGTCTGACGCCATTTTGAATTCAAGATGGCGGCTTCCGGTGCGAGAAAAACTGGGAATTATTGCCAAATTACCCACAGTAGGAGCATTTTTGGAGTCTTGGTGACGTGTAGGGTTCGGAAATCGATGTCTGAGGCCATTTTGAAATTCAAGATGGTGGCTTCCGGTGGGAGAAAAACTGGGAATTATTGCCAAATTACCCACAGTATGAGTATTTTTGGAGTCTTGGTAACGTGTAGGGTCCAGAAATCGATGTCTGAGGCCGTTTTGAAATTCAAGATGGTGGCTTCCGGTTGGAGAAAAACTTGAAAATTATGTCTAATACCCCTCAATATGGGTATTTTTAGAATTGGGGTGACGTATAGGGTCCGGAAATAGCTACCTGACGCCATTTTGAATTCAAGATGGCGGCTTCCGGTGGGAGAAAAACTGAGAATTATTGCCAAATTACCCACAGTATGAGTATTTTTGGAATCTTGGTGACGTGTGGGGTTCGGAAATCGATGTCTGAGGCCATTTTGAAATTCAAGATGGTGGCTTCCGGTTGGAGAAAAACTTGAAAATTCTGTCAAATATCCCTCAATATGGGTATTTTTGGAATTCGGGTGACGTGTAGTGACCGGAAACCCATGTCTGACGCTATTTTGAATTCAAGATGGCGGCTTCCGGCTAGTGAAAAACTTAGAAATTTCACCAAATACCCCACAAAACTGGTATTTTTGGAGTCGGGGTGACGTGTAGGGACAAAAAATCGATATTGAGGCCATTCGGAATTTCAAGATGGTGGCTTCCGGTTATAGAAAAACTTGAAAATTGTGTCAAATATCCCTCAATATGGGTATTTTTAGAATTGGGGTGACGTGAAGGGACCGGAAATCGATGTCTGACGCTATTTCGACTTCAATATGGCTGCTTCCGGTTGGAGAAAAATTTGGAAATTCTGCCAAATACCCCACAAAACTGGTATTTTTGGAGTCGGGATGACGTGTAGGGACCGGAAATTGATGTCTGAGGTCAATTTGAAATTCAAGATGGTGGCTTCCGGTTGGAGAAAAACTTGAAAATTCTGTCAAATACCTCTCAATATGAGTATTTTTAGAATTGGGGTGACGTGTAGGAACTGGAAATCGATGTCTGACGCTATTTTGACTTCAATATGGCTGCTTCCGGTTGTAGTAAAATTGGGAATTACTGCCAAATTACGCACAGTATGAGTATTTTTGGAGTCTTGGTAACGTGTAGGGTCCAGAAATCGATGCCTGAGGCCGTTTTGAAATTCAAGATGGTGGCTTCCGGTTGGAGAAAAACTTGAAAATTCTGTCAAATATCCCTTAATATGGGTATTTTTGGAATTGGGGTGACGTGTAGGGACCGGAAATCGATGTCTGACGCTATTTTGAATTTAATATGGCGGCTTCCGGTGCGAGAAAAACTGGGAATTACTGCCAAATTACCCAAAGTGTGAGTATTTTTGGAATCTTGGTGACGTGTAGGGTCTAGAATCGATGTCTGAGGCCATTTCGAAATTCAAGCTGGTGGCTTCCGGTTCGAAAAAAACTTGGAAATTCTGTCAAATATCTCTCAATATAAGTACTTTCAAAATTGGGGTGACGTGTAGGGACCTGAAATCGATGTCTGACGCCATTTTGAATTCAATATGGCGGCTTCCGGTGCGAGAAAAACTGGGAATTACTACCAAATTACCCAAAGTATGAGTATTTTTGGAATCTTGGTGGCGTGTAACAGGGTCCTGAAATAGATGTCTGAGGCCATTTTGAAATTCAAGATGGCGGCTTCCAGTTTGAAAAAAAAACTTGTAAATTCTGTCAAATACCCCTCAGTATGGGTATTTTTAGAATTGGGGTGACGTGTAGGGACCAGAAATCGATGTCTGACGCCATTTTGAATTCAATATGGTGGCTTTCGGTGCGAGAATAACTGGGAATTACTGCCAAATTACCCACAGTATCAGTATTTTTGGAATCTTGGTGACGTGTAGGGTCCGGAAATAGATGTCTGAGGCCATTTTGAAATTCAAGATGGCGGCTTCCAGTTTGAAAAAAAACTTGAAAGTTCTGTCAAATACCCCTCAATATGGGTATTTTAAGAATTGGGGTGATGTGTAGCGACCGTAAATCGATGTCTGAGGCCATTTTGAATTCAATCTGGTGGCTTCCGATAGAAGACAAACTTGGAAACATTGTCTAATACACCACAATATGAACATTTTTGGAATCGAGTGACATGTAGGGTCCAGAAATCCATGTCTGATGCTATTTTGAAATTCAATATGGTGGCTTCCGGTTACAGAAAAATAAAAAAAATACAGGCGGGTTTTCCGTCCATACACGTCACTCCAATTCCAAAAATACCCATAGTGGACAGAATTTCCAAGTTTTTTGCTAACGGAAAGCCACCATATTGAATTCAAAATGTCGTCAGCCATGCATTTCAATTTTCCTGTAACTGGAAGCCACCATCTTGAATATAAAAACCCGAATTTATCCACCTATGGTGTGATCAGACCCTTCTTACTTATTCAAGTTTATTTATTTTATTGTCATTATCAGTGACCAAGCGCCCACCCCCGTGTCATCCAGTGACGCTACGCCACTGCCTGGGGGTACCCGGAATATATCCGGGTGTAGTCTATTTGGTGAGGCTACCTTATCATCGTATTTTAATGTGATTTAATGGGTTTTAATTCAATTCATATTCAATCAACTTCCCCGGGGTACCCGGAACATGTCCAAGTGTGTCCAATGTGGTCTGGAACACTTAACACGACTTGCATTGATCTTATTTTTGAATTCTGTAGTAATTTGATGTGTCGCATGATGGTTTTGATACGTTTTCCGTTAAATCCAGCGTGAAGGCCCATATTCACCGGATCTTATTCCGGCCATATCTCCGGAACCGGTTCATCGATTCCAAAACCGTTTAATAGCGTTCAATGGGACCCCAAGACCTATCATTTGGCGCCGAGTTTGTCCAAATCGGTTGAGCGGTTGCTGAGAAACGTGAGCGCATTCATTTCGTTACATACACACACACATACACACATACACACATACACACACACACACACAGACATGTTCCGATCTCGTCGAGCTGAGTCGAATGGTATATGACACTCGGCCCTCCGGGCCTCGGATCGATAGTCGGTTTTTCAAGTGATATCTATACCCTTCTTTGTAAGAAGGGTAAAAAGGCATTAGTTTACGGTTCCTACACGTCACCAAGATTCCTAAAATACTCATAATGTGGTGTATTTGACAATATCCCAGTTTTATTTAAACTGAAGCTGTTATCTTGGATATCAAAATGGCGCCAGGCATGGATTTCTGGTCGTCACCCCGATTCCAAAAATACCCCTAGATAAGGGGTATTTGACAAAATTTCCAATTTTTTCTCTAACTGGAAGCCGCCATTTTTAATTTTAAAATGGCCGCAGACATCGATTTTAGGTCCTTACACGTCAATCCGACTCTAAAAATACAAATATTGTGAGGTATTTGAGAGAATTTACAAGTTTTTCTCTTGCCGTAAGCAGCCATCTTGAATTTCAAAACGCCAGACATCGATGTTCGGTCCCTACTCGTCATCAAGACTCCAAAAATAC